TCAGCCCCCATTTCCTGGTCAAGCTTTGTCCAAAAGTTGTCTACACATGCTACTACCCGTTTTCTCATCTCCCATTCCCCTCCCAATCCCCTCCAATCGCACTCCTACCCAATCCATCACTCCATTCAAACTGTTCTCCACAAAGTCTCCAATGGCTTCCATTTTGCCAAACCCAAGGGTGATTTTTCTGGCCTTATCACGCCCACCCACATACACGTTGCCTTTTCTCCTCTCTCTTCAGGCTCCTTAGGACATCTCACCCAGTCTCCTGGATTCAAATACCACCCTTCGCTGGTAGTTCCCACATTTTCATCTCTTGCCTGGCCACTCCTCTGGCGTTAGGCGCTATATCAAGCTGCCTGCTTAACATCTCTACTTGAGTCTATCTAACAGGCATCTCGAATTTAATGGTGCCCAAACTGAAAAAGCTTGGATGCTGCTCCGCTCTCTCTCCCCTCTTCCCCATCACAGCAAATAGCACCACCCATCTACCCAGCTGTCAAGCCAGAAACCTGTTATCCTAGATTCCTCCCCGCAACCCCCACCAAATCCATCAGCAAGCCCTGCCCTTTCTACCTCTAATGTGCATCTCACATCCACCTGCTCCCCTCCATTCACCTCCTGTCACCTCCTAACCTGGCCTGCTCCAACTGCCTATTTACTGTGCTCCCCAATTCCACATCTGCCCCTCTCCACCAATGCAATCCCTTTTAAGCATGAGATGGGGGGGTGTCACTTCCCACTGCAAATTATCCATGATTTCCTACTACACTTCGAATGAAACCAAACCATTTCAAGGCCCCCAGAGCCCTGCACGATCATCTCTCATCTCCTGCTGCCCTGTATCCCTCCGCCTGGTCCACCTGTGCCTCTTTTCAGTTCCTCCCAAAGCTTAAAGTCCTTCCACAAAGGCTCTCCTCTGCCTGGTACTCTATGTCTCTCTCCCCAAGCCCCAATCCTCAGAGAGGCTTTTCTAGCCTACTTTAGCTAAGTAAGTCCAGGTCCCTGGGGCTTCTTCATATTTTGCAACATATATTTTTTGACATGTCCACCTCCCCTCTGGACTGTAAACTAGGGGGTGAAGTGGGGGATGGGTAGGTAGCTGATTATGTCTGTTGAAATTATCAACACAGTACCTAGCAAATAGTAGGTGCTCAATAAGTAGCTGCCAAATGCACTAATGAATAAACCAAAGCCAGTTAAGCATGAAAATACCTTTTACTTTCTATCACTGCCATTTAGCCACACAGGTTTTTTTCCCCTTACTCTATATATAAAAAAAAAGTGTTAATATTGCTGAGCCAATAGCCCAATAGCTCAGCATCTCCTACCCATCCCCAGCTTGTCCTCCATGAGAAAAAAGCAAAGATCATCCATTTCTACAGTCAACCCAAATTAACCAGAAGACCCTACAGGAAGCTGCCCTGAGAACTTGAAAATTCTTAGAAAATATCACAGGGACTTTTTCTGGTGTCTTTTCTTTAATACAGAAGAAAAGATTTATTAAGAGAGCCACGGGCTCAAACTCATGCTATTGAGCCTCTATTATTCCTTAAAATGCCACCATACCCTTGTTGAAAAGCACGCCAATAACTGGGATCCAGCTGTTCTTGTCTCCCTCTCCCCACAAAAGAAATCAATGATGTTTTATTTTTCACTTTATTGGGGTTCCCCTCCAATAAGCAAATTGAGGAATATTACTAACCCACAAGATCCCAGCTGATTCTAATCCTCTCTCCTCCCTAAATCACACCGTTTTATGAAGTCAGAAGTAAAACGAGTTGAATTCAGCTGCCTTGAGAGCAGGATAATCAGCACCCATTTTTAATGCTTGGGGTCTGAACCACTTGTCTGGAGCCTTACTTTTTACATCAATGTGCGGTCAATAAAAACATCAAGAGCTTTTCTCAAAAAAATGCCCATGGTGAAATATATGCTATGCCAGAAGCGACAGCAATACAATCTCATTATTATAAACCCTAACGCAAATATATGACCAAATCCCAATTACCAACATGTGAATTCTCCACAGAAAGTGAATAAAGCCACACTAGGCTTTCTGGTCTCCCACTCGTCCGCCAGACTACTTCCTCCTGTTGCTTGGAATAACTGCTCAATTAACCTTAGACTTGACCAAGCATAATTAGACAGGTGAGCCAGCTGGCTGTAAGGGAAACCTCCACAATAAACTGAAATTATTTTTGGTGCCTGAAATTACGTGCCCTATTCTCTATTAGCACAAATCATTGGGTATCAATCATGCTTTTTTTTTTTTTTTACCAAGGCAGCAGCAGGCTTTCATAAGTATTTCCTTGTGTTTGAAGGTCAAGATTAGCAAGCAACTCAAGAGTCTTTTTTGGAATGCCAAGGTACAAATCCACTCTCTCCATGAGAAGACAAAAAACAGAAGTTAATTAACTCGCCCAAGTCCATGAAGCAATTTGGCCGTTGGCCCAGGAAGACACTGTTGAGACCTCTGGAGACCAACTCACAGAAGTTCAGACACAGATGAAGCTCATGGATAAAACTGTGCTTTTTTAATATAAAACATCCGAAGCCTAGAAATGCTACAAACTGGTACCCTCCCCACTTTTCAGTGATGTTTCTCTCCCTGCTTTGAGGATCAAACCACCTTAAAAGTCCTTTGTCACTTTACAAATACTGTAAACTTGAGCCAACTACTGAATGTGAAAGACAATGTTAACACTTTCTGATTAATTGACCTTATACAGAATCCTTATTCTACCCCCCCAAAAAAACACAATGCTTTTGATCATTATGAGCAACCCAACTATCAAAGGAAAAGAAAATGAATAGTTGTGGTTTGTGACCACACATTTTATTATATTAGCCGTAGTCCCCCCTTTTATAATTAATACTCATACCTCAACAAAAAACGCAGGCTCAAGAAGGTTACAGGAGGCAAAACTGAGCCCTTTCCACACACAACTGTTTTCACAGCAAGTTCACATAAATGCTATGTGATATTAACACATGCCTCTGTGTGAAAGCCTGATTACAAAGCTGTGAAAAGACCCATGTTTACTATGGAACCTGTAAAAATTAATCTTCTCAGTGCCCATAAAGCAGAAGGGAAATGCTCTTTTTTGAGATGTCAAGCTGGCTTCTAAACAATTCTTTGGCGAAAATGGACATGTCTAAAAGGGCGGGGCCCAAAGAGGTGTGTCACTCCCAGTATCAATTCCTATAAATCAAATCCTGACAATCACCACAATATTTTAAAAAGAATGAATTATGATTCATAGGCCTTTATTACCACAAGAACATTCCCAGCAGAAGGGGGGGGGAAGGGGGTGAAAGCTACTGTGAATTGATTAATGGCCAAAGCATGACTATAAAATACATCTCATAAATATGAGGAAAAAAAACCTGAATGACAGCTCTTGGCTTCGAGGGTAGGCATGACAATAATTCCACTATCCTGGAATAAACACACATAAAGATTTTGTTTATCCTCCCAGCACATACACCAATCAGACTCAGATTTGCAGCAGGGTAAAAACAATAGCTAATTTGTTTAACTAATGCCTAGTTAGGAACATTTGATAAATGGCAATAATATTTAATTTCCAAATAACTCAACTCTCAAGCTGCCAAATATCAAATTCTCAATCTGGAAATCCGATGGCAGGAAGGAAAGGAAAACAGCACTGTCCACCAGTAACATGTAGGGAGAATTCCCCCCCCCCCCAGTATTGAGTCTGGTTACAGAACAGAAAGCTTAACCAACTTTTAGTTCACCACAATGTCTAGTGTTTACCCTGACCCTACTTAACATGTCCCGGTTTGTACCTCTGGTGCTAACATTATCCTGGCAAAGTTAAAACTCCCAGCATATTCCAGGTACCTGACAGAACTACAACCCATCTGCGAAACCAGGCTGAGAACCGGGGATACAGAGGCAAGGAGAAGCAAAGACTGCTCGTTAACTAGTTAACTGCTGAGTGCTCCGGCTTATTATGCTTCCAGTGGCCGTCAAAACCACATCCTCCCTCACTAGCCTGCTTTCTTGAAACAGTTAATGATGCAGGAGGTTGGTACCAACTAGGACAACTAAAAACTCCTTTCTTAAAGCTCTGCTCCACAGTCTGCTAAAAAGTGCATCCAGCCGGCTTTCAGGAGGCATTTTTTAAAGAACTCTTCAGCCATCCCTGGATCCGTCATTACTAAGCATCACTTCCATGTACTTCATGAGACAGCCCAGGCCATGCTGTTAGCAACCGGCTTCAGCACGTTCACTTGCCAAAGCCGTGACTAGTCTGGGAAGAGTTTCCACAAAGCTGGCTCTAACCGGCCAGTCGAAGGCACACGGAGGAACCAGAAGTCATTTTCTTTTAACCTAAGGATGGCAGGCGCACATGCAAACCCATTGCTGGCCAGAGGCTGCCCGCCAGGTGCTCTCGGCCTCCGCCAGTGAATGGGTGATTTTGTGTTGTTCTCTATTATCTTTTTCTTCACACCAGCAGCAGCAACTTCCCAGTCTCCCAAATTGAAGTTGGGGAGTTGAGGGGCAGGTTTACCCCTCACTCATTTCTCCCATCTGGGTGGCCACTTTAATTTCTGGGGGTACCCAGCCCCCACAGAGCCCACAGGCGCATATACATACACATGCATCATGTCAAAAACCCCAAAAGGCACATCCCTAGGGTCCTGCGGTTTCTTGGCTGGAAGAATGAAGGCTTTATAACATCACAACCTTCAACTGCAAGCCCCACCACCACCCTTGAAGCCGGGGCTGCCAATTATAGCGCCCACCTCACCCCTCCCCCTTTGCTGGGATGCCGTGCAGCCCAAAGAGGGAAGAGAAGCAGAGAGAAGGCCCTGCTAACATACTGAAAGTAAAGAAGTGGGGGGGAGACTTTCTCTTCTCTGCCCCCCCCACACACACACTTTATCCCTTCCCCTCCCCCCGCCCCCGTCTTCTCACGAGCATCCCCCAAGAATTTTTTTTTTTAATGAAACTTAAGCTTCTTGCCTACCTTGGCTGTTTCTGCAACAAGTGCATGGGCAATCCGACAAGAAGACCAATCTCCGCTCGGGGGATGAGATGGGGAGCCAGCAAAGCTGATGGAGTAATTTCAATATTAATTTATGTCAGAGCCGCCTTCTCGAAGCGCTACTCACTTACAGTACTGCCCTCTCAGCCTGTAAACAAATATCGCTCCGCCAGAAAACATACTCCCCAGATGCAAGCCCCTCTCCCCAGCAAGGAACCTGGCCCCTGGCCCCCCTCCAACAGCGTGCTCCCCCACCCCCGGGAGGAAGCTTCGGGTTTTCAAAGCACCAACCCACCACCTCCGCCACCACCCTAGCAAGAAACTTACTCGGTCCGTCTACGCCTCCACCCTCCCTTCAGGAAATCTACTCTCCATATGCATTCAGCCTCCCCGCAGGAAATCTGCTCCCCCCTCCCCCCTTCTATATACATGCACCCCTCCCTCTCCTCCTCCCCACGCGCCCTCCCCGGCCAGAAACTTACTAGCAAGCAAGCGTGCAGGCTCTCCTGATCCTGGAAACTTACTCCCAGATATAACGCCCGCCAGCCCCCTTCCCGGCCCTGCTCCCCTTCCTGCCCTCCGCCGAGAGCAACTCCAAACTCTCCGCATCCAGCCACTCTCCCTCCCCGGTGGAAATTTGCAGCGCGGGGCCGCGCGCGTGCATCCACCCTCCCCTTCAGGAAACTTACTCCCCATCTGCATGCACCGCCTCTCAGCCATCGCTTAGAGGGAAGGGGGTGTGCTAGGGAGACAGAAATACATATGTATCTCTCGCCCCTCCCCCGGCCGCAGCCCACTCGGGGCCGAGCCGCGGTAACCTGGCCTTACCTTTTGCATTGCTCCCCGGCCTCGCCCCCTCCCTTAACCCTCCTTATCCGCTCTCCGGCGCCCCCCTTTTTTCACCCATTACCCACCCCTAGCAACCGTTCCCAAGCTCCTCTCGGCCTTTTTTTTTTTTTTTTAATCCAGGATGCAAATTCCTCCCCTGTCAGCAAATCGACTGTCAAATTATTTTCTTGCAAAAGGAGAAAGGCGGAGTGGGGTGGGGGAGCAGAAGCAAAAAAGAGGGGAGGGCGGGGGAAGGGAGAGAGGGGGACAGAGGAGGGGAGAGATATCCCTCCGCAGAGCTGGGTCTGGCCGCGGGCGGGGAAGCAGGAAGTAAGGTGTCCAGCGCCGCGGCCGGCGGGTCCTCAGCCGCGGCCCCCGCCCGCGCCCCCTGTCCCCCGGGGCATCGCGCTCCGGCAGGCGCGGGCCGCCCGGCGCATTGTTCGCAACCTTCCCGGCGATACGCTGCCGACCTTATTTGTGTGCTCTGCATGTGCGTGAGATTGCACCTTTTGTAGGCTGGCGAGACTCTGGACGAGGATGGGGCGGGGGGCGCGGACCGAGTTGCGGCCGGGCGCGGGACCTGTCAGCCCCGAGGTGTGGCGGACTCGCCGGCGTGCCCGGAAAATCGAGGCCCAGGAGAAGGCGGCGTGGCCGGGAAGCTGCCGCCTTAAACCCGGACCAGTGCAGGATTGCTTCCTGCGTAGCCGTCCCGGTTATTGTAACGCGCTTTGCAATCTAACGACTGGGGTTTGGGTTTTTGGCTTATTTTGTTAAAAGGACTGCAAAGATGCCAAGGTCTAGGTGGGCTGCGGGGAGACGGTCTGCGCCTACCCCCACTGCACCCCCGCTTTGGAGGGGCTGGGAGAAGGGTCGGGGCTCGGGGGAAGAGGCTGGAGGTTCGCGAAGCGCGCGGCTCCATCCCTCCGCCCCGGTGGGGGCGGGGAGCGGGTGCTGCAGGCGGCGCTGGAAACGCAGCTCTCTGGGGAGGGGGGTCTCCATCTCCGCGGCGCAGCAGGCTGGGGAGGGAGGTTGCCTAGGAGAGGGGCCGGGCCGGGCGGCGGAGGGGAGGGGGCGCGAGTGCCGCCGCGACGCGGGCTCGCCCCTCCTCGCGCGCCATGACTGTGGAACGTGGTGCTGGGGAGGAGGGACGGCCGCCGGGGGCCGCCCGGGGCTGCTCGGCATTGGTGCGGAAACCCGAGCCGGGAGTCGCTCCTCGCTCTGTCTCCTCCTCCTCTGCGGGGGAAACCGCTGCACCCAAACCGAGAGCAGCTGCGAGCAGGGGGCAGGGCGCGGGCTGAAAGGCGAGCCCAGGGTTCAAACCTCGGCGGCGCCAGGAGGGCTAGAGCAGGACAGCCCCCAGGTCCCGCGAAGGCTCTGCCGCCTCTCGGTCCAGCCCAGGACCCCAGCATTTCCGGGCTTCTTTCCTGGTCCCAGGAAACGTGAACCAAAGATGGTTCAGCTCAACAGACCACCTCGAGCCGGGTTCGAGGTATCTCATGGAGGGCCCACGGAAGCGAGTCTTTTTTTTGCTCAAGGGAAAGTTAAACCATGCTTTTTGCAGTATTGGGAGATCGTTGCGCCCCTTCCCCCAAATCTCACGCGGGATAAATAAGGTGCCCCCTCTCCCCCAGACCTTCGTCACTGCCCCCCACCCTACCCCCACTCGGCGCTGGGTGTGGACAGGGCGGGGGAAGGCTATAAGGGAGCTTAAAGCATGAGGTCATGGACAGAGAAGGCTGCTGCCAAAAGCGGCCGAGGTTTTTGTGTATTTTGAGGGGTTAACGGTTCTCCCATCTTCGGCAGTGGGTAAGTTCTCCCGCATAACCCTACCAATTTGGGGGCATCTGGGCCGGAGAGCCCCCGAAAGAGGGGCGAGCTCTGAGCTATTTTGCTCAATGAGAATTTGGCCGGCGCCCAGCCCCCTGTGGGGCCCTTCCACATAAGCAAAGAAAGTCGAGGGATAACGCACAGTGTCGCGGAGACCGAGAAAGGCTCGGATGCTCGGTCCTCGCTCCCGCTTTCCTCAGTCGTCGGTCATCTTCCAACCCGACTGCTTTCTGTGATAGCCTCCTGTACCCCTCTGACCCATTCTTCCCAAGCGGCTAGAGGAGTCTTTCTAAAACTCCTGACTACATTCCTCCAAACCCCTCCCAATTGCTCTTAGAATAAAGCCAAGCTCTGAAGCCCCCTTGTGATTTCGCCTGTACCGACCACTCCACTCTCACAGCTCCTCCTCCTATACCGTAAGCGGGTCGTGCTTCTTTGTTCTGGGGCTGGGGGTGGGGTGGGGGACGCTAACCCTTCCCCCTCCATCTCTTCTGACTAACTCCTGCTAAACCTTCAGGACTCAACTGTCACTACCTCCAAGAAGCCATCCTGAGGATACAGTCATCTCTAACTCCCTCAGGGAAAAAGACCCACCCTAGACCTCCTGGCAGTGGTCGGAGCTGGCCCCCGTGGCAGCCCTTTTCCAAACGAAGGAGTAATTGCAAAGCTTTAGCGCCATCATTGCCTTGGGGGCCTGACCTCCTGGGAGGGAATTGGCCAGGACAACCCCTCAAAAAACACCCTATTTCCTCAAGAGACCTGGGGAAAGCAACGCACCGCCCAGAAACTTCAGCCTTTCCACCTCCCACCCCCAGCACACACCCACACAGAGTAGTGCGTGGAGAGGTCTTTTCATCTAAAACTCTTCCCTGGTGCAGATAAGGAACCTGAAGCTTAGAGGGAGTAATGGCCTGAGGTAAATGCAGAAATTCACACCCTGGTCTTTCCCCGCTCCTAAACCAGAAGCTGCAGAGAAGGATTTGGGATTTGGGACTCAGTATTGCTGCTACACAGCTAAGGATGCTTGTGTCACCTTCAAAGGACCTCTACATGATTGGCTCACTGCCAACAGAGGTAATATGGCCTAATGGTCAATGTGCAGTCTCTTGGGCAAGTTACCTTATCTTACTTGGTTCTGTTTCTCTGCCTCTAAAGTCAGAATAATGATACCTACAGTTAGTATTATTATGAAATTTAAATGTGTTAATATATGTAAAGCCCTTAGAACAATGTCTAGGCAAGTTCTTGATTATTTGTGAGTGGGGTTTTATGCCCCCTCCCTTCCCAAAGACTCTAGAAAAATTAGGTCCAGAGTCTTAACTGATTTAAGTATCAAATAATGATCTATAGCCTAAAAACCTGGGCAATGCACAGATAATACATACGAAGACCTTATTTAGCCAATAGTTTCAATCCTCAACAATGCATATGCTTGAAGACAATCCAAGGGGTGAACCACCCCAAATCTGACTGCTGGTTGTGGACTCAGAGTGAGTGTCAGAGGGAGGATGACTGAAATTTAAATACCCTGTGCCCCCTGAAATAAGACCTAGCCTGAAAATAAGCCATAGCTTGATTTTAGGTGCCAAAATATGGCATCTTGGCATAGTGAATATTTTAAGCTGAAAGAGTTTGTGGAAAAGGCACCCTTCTTCCTTCTCTTAAACCACCCATGTGAGGGGTGTGTGCCCTCCATATCCTGGAAGAGTCATTCTACAGCTTATTCTCCAGCTAGGTCTTATTTTCGGGGAAACACGGTATTATCTTGGATCTTTGAGATCCGAGTCAGGCTTAAATAGTCCCAATCCTGGTGTAAGTCCTGCCCTATATGACCAAAGCCCTCCTAGGGCTGCAAAAAATGTAAGGGGATTATTATTATTATTATTATCATTAGATCCTAGTCCTCCCATTGTCAGCACTTATCCTGTTGGTAAAAGAGGTTTTTTAAAATACAATTCATTTTTTGGAACAGGTTTAATGCCTGTTCACATGGTTCCAAATTCAGATAAACACTGACAAGTCTCCTTTCCACCCTGACTGCCACCCAGTGGTTTTCCGTCTGTGGAGACAACCCCGGGTTAGCCTTTAGGACAGCGGTTCTCAACCATCCTAATGCCGCGACCCCTTAATACAGTTCCTCATGTTGTGGTGACCCCCAACCATAAAATTATTTTCGTTGCTGCTCTATAACTAATTTTGCTACTGTTATGAATCGTAATGTAAATGTCTTTTTGTTTTCCGATGGTCTTAGGCGACCCCTGTGAAAAGGTCGTTTGACCCCCAAAGGGGTCGCGGCCCACAGGTTGAGAACCGCTGCTTTAGGAGGTGTTTAACTGTTTTCCAGGTGAGGCCTCCGGAGAACTTGGGTGCTTGCTTAATACTTTGTGTTCAGGGCTTCCTTCTCCGATCCAGGCAAAATCATCACCATACTCCCACCCTTCCCAGCCCTGCAGCCTCAAACCCAAACAGGTTGGATTAACAATGATGAACCATTGTTTCCTGAGTTGCTGACAAAAGCAAACACTTCGTGGGTCTTTCTCCTCCTGAACACTAATAATAATCACTAAGGTTTATCGAGTGCTTTTTATGTGCCAAGCACTGCTGAGATATGCATTATCCTAGTTAATCAGCCCCAAACCATTCATCATTACAGTATTATTTTACAGATGCAGACAGAAGTGAAGGATCAGAGAGATTATAGAACTTGCTCCAATTTTCATGCAGGCCAACCTGAACCCAAAACCTCTGTCTTCACCACTTGCCTCTCTGCAACAAAGAAAAAATTCTGGGAGCCTGAAAAGGACTAGAGTGGAGTCTTTGGACTTGAGCAGACAGTTCAAATTCTGAGTCTGGTCCCCACCAGCAAGGAGATCTTGGAGAGGTTTCTTAACCTCTCTAAGCCCCGGTTCACCCACCTGTGAACTGGGACCATACATTTTTCATTGGCTTAATGTAAAGGTCAAATGCATGTAAATAATATTTTTTAAAATGCTTAGTAAACTAAATGCAATGTTTAGATCTTGCATGGCTCTGATTTGAATAAACCTATGCTAAAAAGACATTGTTAAGACAATTAGGGTAATAAAATGTAGACCTGATATAGATGTTAAATTATTAATTTTATTAGATGTGGTAATGTCATTGTCGTTAGGATTTTTTGTTCAGTTCTTATCTGTTAGAGATGCATAATGAAGAATTTTGGGTGTAAGTATGTCTAGGATTTATCTTCAAATACTCCAGCCCTCTCCCACCCCACCCCCAAAACAACAGGAGATAAAACAAAATTAGCAAAGTATGGATAATTGTTGAAACTGTTCATCATTCTGTTCTCCCTACGTCTACTGAGTG